TTTTTTTTTTTTTTTTTTTGTACCAGGGATGAACTTGGGATCTTGCGCTTGCGAGGCAGGCGGCGGAACTCCTGAGCTAAAACCCCGGCTCCTGAGTGCCCTCTCTTGAGGAGTAGTCCCTTGAACTCGGGCAAGGCTACTCTTAGCCAGCCAAGCTCCCTGCGGGCAGACCCAGGTTCGGTTCATCTTTGTCCTCCTCCCAGCTCCCGCAGGCTGCCCTGCACCAGTCAATGCTTAGTCTATACGGAAGGAGTGGGTGAGTGATCAAAGGAGCAGCTTCTGCTGAGACTATGGGCCCCCTACCTCCCCACCCAGCAGTTTATCTGCCAGGAGCCGAACAGCTCCTTACGTCCTTAGTGCAATGACTGCTGTTCTAAGGAGACAAAATACATCTACTCACAATGCTTGCAAAAACCTTCTATTCTCACAGAGAAATTCAGACAGAAAGCAATTCACCTCTTGCTCCCTTTCCAGGGAGAGGCGATCTGACCAGGCCAGAAACACCTTCAAGTCAGAGGGATGAAGGGATGGGGCCGGCAGGGTGGGGAGGCCTTCACATGCTCCAGTTGCAAACATCTTGGGTACAAAGCGGCAAAATGATTTACCGCACTGCTTTCCAAACCAGGTGGCAAAGCCATGCCTGGGCCCCAGCCCCAAATTCTCCAAAATTCGGAGAAGTAAGAGATTTCCTGTACAATGCTGTAGACAAAGCATCTCCACATGCTAAGAGTGTAGCAATTACCTACTCCCTGAGCATGGAAGACAATTTCGAGTGAAGTAAAAGGCTAAAACCCTCCCAGGCAATTTTTGCAGTTGTTCGTGACCATCACCCCAGCTCCAGCCGGGTGGGTAGAAAGCAGGATGGGGCCACGAAAAGGCAGAATTCAGGAAATTCCCAGGAGGAAAGCAGCGATGTGGGGAGAGGGGAGCTTGGGGGACGTTCAGAAAACGCCCTTTCATTTCTGTGCCTTTGCGGGCATGCACAGCTCACCACAGCCCCGAGCCCTCCCAGCGCCTGGAAAAACAAGAGGTCGGGGCCTACCAGCGGGAAAGCGCGGTACCTGATGTCCGGAAGCGACCGGGCCGGCGCTGTACAGCTTCGCGCCCCGCCCACGCAGACCAGGCCCTGCTTCTCCGCTTTGCGCTTGCGCCGCGCCCCGCCTCGCCTACTCTAGCCCAACTGGGGAGTCCGGGGCGGAGGTCTGCTGCCCCCTGCTGGATTGGCTGGGTGGAGCAAGGATTCCCGAAGGCGAGAAGAGGCGTTTGTAGGCTTGTTTTTGCCCTTTACCCCTCCTCCTTGCTAGGGTTCTTACCTGGCCCCTCCTGCACACTGTTGCAAGTGCTCTACTCTTGAGCTGCAGCCCCAGCCCTGTAAGGAGAATTTTTTAAACAGTGAAGTTCATTCACCACTCCGAAGACACGTGGGAGCTCTACAGAACCAAATCATTTTACAGATTTTCTAGCAGTTTGTTCCCATTTCAGTGGAGGGAACCAAAGTTCAGGGAGGCGAAATGACTAAGAGGTCCAAAGTCAGAACCCAAGTTTGTCTGGTTTTGAAGGTTTAATGCCCTTCATGACACTATAGGGTCATGTAGCTGTGGTTGGGAAATCAAGGCTGCGGTTTTATACAAAAGCAAGGGATTGCTGGACTTTGATATCTAGGAGGAATGGTATGCAATCCGAGAGTTGGAAAGCGCTTTAAAACTTGTCTAGTACAGGCTAATCTGTTCCCAAGAAAGAACTTGAAATTCTCATCGCGTTTTGCCTTTTATAGTAATTCCAACCCTCTTATACAATAGTTCTTCAGGAATTTGAAGGCTGTCCTCTAGGAGCCAAACAGCTCTGGGATTTTATGGGGCTGAGAATATCAGAATTCCTCAGAGTACAAAAAAGTAAAGAAAGAACCCTAAGATACGCATTAAATCTTGTGGAATTTATTTGCTGGGTCAAGTTCCTGCACATAAAATATGTTAGGGAAGCAACATGACTGTATCTAACTCATGAGAAGTCCAACTCAGTCCTGAGGAGTTATGAAACCCCTGGAGATTGCCAGGGGAGTTGATGGTGAGACACTGGAATATGGAGGAAGCGGCATCCTGAAGTTTGCCTTGGTTTCCCCAGCCTTCTTTCCATCCCTTCCTGTGCACCTCTTTTTCAGCATCCTCAACCTATCTGCTGAGATTCCAGGAACACTTTCCCTAATGAAAATAAGATGAAAACCTTCTTGAAGTATCCCTTAATGCCAGTGAAATGACCTAGATAAATATTCCCCTGCACCTCGGTACTCAGGTTGAAAATACAGCTCAGGCTAGATGCTGAGATCCTTTGCACACTGCCACTGAGGTAGTAAGAGCTGCAGGCAGCCTCAAGATACTCTTCAAGGCATTTCACCTAACGTGAAAGAAAAACTGTGTATCCTGTGGGAATCCCATACTCTCAGATATGTGGAAGCAGGATTGAGTTTAGCAAAGGGACTATATTCTCTCCACTCATAGCCCTTTACCTGCTACCTCTTCCAGCAATTGCTAAGGCTGCAGCCTAAGGTGAGGACAATGTATAAAGCTTTCTATTCATGATCCACGGAAGATTCTTAAATTCCAATGTGACATCAACTCCTTCGCCATGCTGGAGAAATGCACAATGTAAAGTTACTAAGGAAGCCAACTTTATTAAAATATATTATCAAATTATTAACATTTAAATCTGTGATTATGAACATATTTTAAGATCTAGGGGTACTCCACATAAATATTTCAAAGTAGTTATAACATGTAAATGTTTGTGATTCCCAGTGATGACAGACACAGGGACTAATGCTTCTACGGTTTGTTGCCTAGAAAAAAAATGTTATATTTCCATTGGAGGTTAGTGAAAATAGAAATTTCTGTTTTCCATCTAAGTTTTTTGATATCCTGATTTCTGTCCTCAGGCTCCTTGGGATTTGCAGATCAAAATTCCCAATCTACAGTACTGTAAATTCTCCTAGTTTGTGTACAGGACAATTAGAGAAAGGGAGAGCAAGGTCAACATCCCAACTCTCAGGATGGTTGCTCAGACAGGGTCTTCACAGCTTGGCTAGTGCCATAGGATCCTCATCCTCACTCTCCCATGTTCAGAAACTCAGTTTCTCTCAGCTCTTCCAGGATCACCCTCATTCTGAGAGGTGAAGACCAAAATCACAGGGACTCGTTCATTTTTAAAGCCCACTTCAGATCTTTGATTCTTCTCTCCTTTCAGATCCAGTGTGATAATTATCACTTAGCCTCTGCTAATGAGTAAAAGAAATTATAAGCAAGCATCCAAATGTGTGTTATACATACAGAGATAATTACTAAATTTGATGCTATACTAACATGCTGTGGATATTATGACAAAAATATATCAAAATAAGATCTAAAAGGAAAACATGGATTAAACAGATATTTATATTTAATAAAAATAACAATGACATTGTTCCTCCTGTTTGATACAGAAGAATGTTTCCACTTTTTCTGTTTCCTTTTCCAATAATATTTCTCTAAACTGCCTGCAGGCCTTAGGATACCTTTCTTTTCTCTTATATAGTGGTCAAACTCAACATAGCTAAATGTTAAATTCACTCTGACCTGCAGCTCTGCTCTTGCACCCATGTTACACTGGTTCTTACTATCAGTCCAATGGGATGACATTAAGCTGAATATCCTCTCAACCAAAGTGTTTCTTAGGAATTTACTTACTGACAATGGAAAGTTTGTAGGCTTGTAAGAATGAATTTCTATTTCCCTCAAGGTGTCCACCCACATTGCATCCACAGGCTCACTCTGACAGACTGTCAATGAGGGCCACACTACATGTATAAACTCATCATAGAGGCTATCCACGTCTAAAATGTCCACTGCATGGATGTAATTACAAATCAAACATCTCAGAAAGAATGTCTTTAAAGCATGGAGGTAATAATTTAACTGGTGAAATTAAAGTTGGAGTCCAAATAAATTACAATTTTAGTTAGGAAATTGAGAAAGTCCTGCTTACTTGGCTGCCTTTTTCTGATTTTTTTAAAAGTTCCAGAGTAGTCTTTAATCCCCCCCGCCAAAATGCATCATTTTGTCTGTTGTATGAGCTTCTGTCTCAAACTGTCCATAATATCAGGTAATTCAGAAGCTTTCAATCCATCCTTTTCTAGGCTTCTTCTGGTCTTTTCAAAGATCAACAGTGTTGCAAAAGCAGCATATAAACTTCTGTTGTACTATAATCCTTCCAAACATCCTTCCAAATATATATTTCCAAATTAGAGGACATCCTTTGGGCCCACACTTTGAAAATATGATTTTATAGCAGGCAAATATTTTAGCATCTTTTGTATGGCTGGCAACATGATACCTACACGTCTAAAGAAATTATCTCCATTTCTATAAAGCCAAAAATCTCATCAAATAGTTCTCTATTTTTTGAGGAAACTGAAAAGTAACCAAAAACTTTCATTACAGAAGTCTCACTATCACTTAAGTAAATCACACCCCCTTTTAACACTGATGTGTGTATGTGTGTGTGTGTGTGTGTGTGCATGCTGGACATGGAACAGGTGAGATCTTTTCCTTTTCTTTGTTAAGTTTATAGACTGAATAGAATGTAACTCAATTTACATCTGCAACCTCTGATGAATATGCAGATGGATGAGCTAAGTGCAGTCGGTATTTAATCGAAATATCAACCATATTTATGAACTCTCCAGTTTCATTAATGCCCTCACTGGAATCAGGGTGCTTCTTTTACCTCCCTTGGCCTTGGTCATGGTGAGCAGTGGTGATGGGGCAGCCAGGTGATGAACTTCAGTGCAGGGAGGAAGACTACAGATGCTCTGCTCAAGTTTGAATACTGGCCTAGATATGGAAACTCTCTGCATTTGTATACAACTCTGTGGGCAAGGCATTAACCCAGAAGCTTTATCATCCATTAGTAAAGAGCTTCTCAAGACTACCGAAGCAATCTAACAACATAAGTGAAAGATGTATACGCTGAAAATGACAGTACTCTGAAAAAGGAGATTGAAGAGGATATCGGAAAATGGAAAGATATCCCATTTTTGGATAGGCAGAACCAATATTGTAAAAATGGCCATATTTCCAAAACTGTTAAACAGATTTAATGCACTCCTGATCAAAATACAAACAGTATACCTCAGGGAAATAGAAAAAAACAATCCCAAAATTCGTATGCAACCAGAAGAGACCTAGAATAGCAAATCCTGGGCAGCAAGGACAAGGCAGGGAACACCATAATCCCTGATTTAAAGTTATACTACAAAGCTACTATGATAAAAACAGCATGGTACTAGAAAATAAAACAGACCAGGGGATTAATGGAACAGAACAGAAGATGCAGAAATGACTCCAAGCACACTAAGCAACCTTATCTTTGACAAAGTGGACAAACACCTTCACTGGAAGAAAGGTAGCCTCTTTAATAAGTGGTGCTGGAGCAAGTGGCTTTCCACATGCTGAAGACTAAACCTAGATCTGTATCCCTCACCATGCACTAAAGTAAAATCTAAATGGGATCAAAGCTCTAAATATAAAAATAGAGACACTTACTTTGCTGGATCTAGGTAAATCTTTAGAACATATAAGCGTGGGCAAAGACTTTATGAACCAAACCCTGATTGCACAGGAAATATTATAAAGAATCAACAACTGGTATCACATCAAATTAAAAAGCTTTTGTACAGTGAAAGAAACCACCAACAGAGTAAAGAGATATTCTATAGAATGGGAAAAATACTTACCAGCTACTCTCAGACAAAAGACTAACATCTAGAGTATAAAAAGAACTAAAATATCAGATCTGTTGGCCAGGGATTTAGCTCAGTGATACTGTCACCTGCCTTACAACTGCAAGGTCACGAGTTTGATCCCCAGTACCAAAAAAATAAAAAATAAAATAAAATAAAAAAATCAGATCCCTCATATTTAAAGACTCAGGCCAAAAATGGACATTTAAAATAAATAGATACTTCTTGGGCTGGGGATTTAGCTCAGTGGTGCCGCCACCTGCCTCACAAGCACAAGGTCTTGAGTTTGATCCCCATACTATTAAAAAAAAAAAAAAAGGAAGAGACACTTTTCAGATGAAGAAGCACAACAGCAAAAAAATACATTTTTTAAATATTCAATACCACTGGTCATTCAAGAACTGCAAACTAAAAAAAAAAAAAAAATACTGAGATTCCATCTCCAGAAAGAAAGAATGGCTATCATCAAGAAATCAATCAATAACAAATGCTGGCAAGGCTATGGGGAAAAGAGAGCCCTTCTTCATTGTTGGCAGGAATGTAAACTGGTACAACTGGGAAAATTAGTAGATATTCCTCAAATGGAACTAGAGGCTCCATTTGACCCAGCCATTCCCCTTCTAGGTATCTTCCCAAAAGAGTTAAAAGCATCATACTACAGTGATATACACATACCCATACTTATAGCAGCACAATTTATAAGAGCTAAATCTTACAAACAGCCAAGATGCCCATCAATAGAAGAATGGATAAAGAAAATGGGTGGGGATAGGGGTGTTCAGGGGCACCTGCCCCGGCTACCTTCCTTGCTGGATGGAGCTGGTGGCAGCACAGGCAGTGGAGGGCACGGCTACCTAGTCCCCGCTGACTGGGCTCAAGAAGGCTTCCTTGCTGGCGCTGATTGTTATTCTTTATTCCTTGTTCTTTGTATATTATTCTTTCATCCCCTGCTGTACCCCTGATTCAAGTGAGTGGGCAAATGAGGGCAAATGAGGATGAAAAGTCTGACAGTGAACCAGCAGTACACCGTGAACTCATAGAACAGGAAGTAACAAAACAGATCAGGCGCTAGAAAAATTCAAAACAGAAAGAATTTCCCAGATAACCATAGAGATGGTGAGCAAAATGAAAGTCATGATTCGAGACTCTAGAACAGAAACTGACAAAAAAATAGATGAGCTCAGGACCATGATAGAAGCCTTGAAGGCCCAGCATAAGAAAGAAATGGAAACAATGAATGGCCAACATAGGAAAGAAATGGAATCCATAAAACAGATTCAAACAGATATCCAGGGGTTTAAAAACTCAATAGAATGTGTTCGCAGCAGAATAAAAGAATGCAAAGATAGAATCTCAGATAAAGAAGATAGGATTGCACTCAGTGACCAGTGACTGTGAAAAGAGAGGTCTCTTAAAATCAGTAAGTGATCATGAGAAATTCATCCAACAACTCCAAGATGATGCAAAGAAGAATAACATAAGACTGATAGGAATCCATGAAGTAGCAGGAGAAAATACAAATGACTTGAAGCTGTTCACAGAATTAATGACAGAAAACTTCCCAAACAGAGGGGAAGAATTTGACATACAGATAAGTGAGACATACAGAACT